AGAGGAAGACATAGGAAAACTTTGGAAGAGACTCTAAGAAAAGACTTAGAGTACTTGGATCTAACGGAGGACATGACACAGGACCGAGCACAATGGCGTTCAAAGATTCATATAGCTGATCCCATTCAGTGACTTGGATTTTCCAAGTCTCCAACCGAGAAGTTTTCCTCACTCGGGAAATTAAGGGAATACTACCTCAACCTACATGCTCCACTCACAAAGCTTCAACATACAAGCTTCAACAAAAGAAAATTCAGAGAACTTAGCGAAGAAGGCTTTGGTGTATTCAACACAATACGTTGAAATGAAGGAAAGCTATTTATTGATATCCCCGATAAGTCACAAATATGTACATATACATGAGTCAAAATAAACAAACAAGAGGGAGCCTTCACAAAGGTTGCTTAGGAGAAGTCTCAGCAGTCGGTAGAGCCCCAGAAAGAGCAGGCACTGAAGGGGGATCATTTGGAGCCTCAGTACTGGACAGAACCCTAGACGGAGGAGGCAGCAGAGGTTGATCATTTGGAGCTTCATTACGCGGTACAACCTCAGAAGACGAAGGCAATAAATGCCTTTGGAACAAACCCACAAATCTCTGATGATCAAGTAAAACCTGACCATCAGATTCCTTCATCTGGTCAAGCTTCCTCTTCATGTTTGTAGCATAGTCATGTGCGAGCCGGTGCAACTGTTTATTCTCATGCTTGAGCCTTCTAATCTCCTGTTTGAGACTCATCACTTCAGCCGCCAATGATTCAACTTGGCGGGTTCGAGCAAATAGGCGTTGGGCCATGTTAGACACAGAACCTGCACACTGAACACTGAGAGCCAGAGAATCCTTAACAGCCAACTCATCAGACCGTTTGGAAAGTAGTCTGTTATCTTTGGGAGTGAGAAGGTTCTTGGCCACTACCGCAGCGGTCATATCATTCTTTATCACGGAATCCCCAACAGTAAGAGGACCAGTAGGGGAGACGAAGGATGGGCGCCATATGTTGTCTGGAGAAGGCGTGGCTGCCTCTTCAACAAGGTTCAAGTTAAAACGACGGTCGGATGGGCCATACATTTTCAAAGGTGTTGAAGAGAGAAGAGGTCGGACAAATCAAGATCTTAGAAGTGCAAGAATGGAGCTTCTACTGGTGGAGATTCAAGTGTGCTTTGGAACTTAATGCCAGCCTCTATAAAAATCTGCACTAGACGGAGCTTCAGAAATCGAAGAGGCGTTTGCTTTCTCAAAAGCTGGGCTGCTCAGAGATCACGAGACGTTTGCTTTCTCAAAAGTTGGGCTGCTCAAAGACCACGAAGGCCGATCTCAGAAATCGAAGAGGCGCTTGCTTTCTCAAAAGCTGGGCTGCTCAGAGACCACGAGGGCCGATCTTAGAAATCGAAGAGGCACCTACTTTTCCAGCCTTGTCAGCACCTGTCAGCTTTGCGAAAATTATGGGCATTATGTCCAAGATTTCTGGTGAAGTAGAAAGCACATGAATCTTACTGTTCAATCACCTACTTCCTACACGCAACATTAGCTCATGGGTACCACAGATAACTTTGCCAAAGTTCTCTGACAAAGTTGAGACACGTGAAGCTTGCAGCTCCCACTACACTGCTCTGACCAAGAAGGGTAAAAGAATAGCAAAGAAACAGCACTAACAAAGTTTAGACACATAAATTTTGAAGGTCTAGCTACCATATTATTACCCATAAGGGTAAAGGAACAGTACCACTGCTGGATAATTGGAAAGTCCCTGTGTGTCAACCTCTGTACTTCGTGGCAAGATAGACTAGCAAACATGCCCAACCTTTTCTCACATTCGAGAAAACACTCCCAACAAGATTGCTTGCTCCAAAATCGAAGAGGCACCGCCCTCCGAATCTCGAGAGCCAGACTCCCAACATGATTACTTTCTAAAAAATCGAAGAGACACCGCTCTCCGAATCTCGAGAGCCAGACCCCTAGCAGGATTGCTTTCTCAAAAATCGAAAAGGCATCGTTATCCGAATCTCGAGAGCCAGATCTCCGACAGGATTGCTTGTTCGAAAACCGAAGAGGCACCACTTTCCCAACTTCAAGAGCCGGATCTCCTTGGATAAAGCTTGTCTGTAATCTTTACACGCAACATCAGCTTTCCAGATACCACAGACCACTTTTTCAAAGTGCTTTGACAAAGTTAAAACATGTGAAGTTGGCAGCTCCCACTACCGTGTTATGACCAAGCAGGGTAAAGGAATAGCATTACTACTTGTTGTTAGGGAGACTCCTATATATGTTGACCTCCATCCCCAACAGACAGGCAGATCTGCAAAAATGCTCAACCCTTCCTCATGTCTGAGAGGGCACTCCTAAAGAAGCCTTTCGAAATATTCAGCTTTCTTCCCCCCCGATAATACCTCTGCAAACAAGCTATACTAGAGCAAGAATATCTCATATCATCAGGGTTAAAAGCAAGAGTATCCCATATCATGTTTTTTCCCTGTCTTTTCCTTTGGCATTGTTCTTACCTGCAAGACAAGGAGAAAGAGAGCAATCAGTCAGCACTTGGAATCAAGCTTACAGTCAGGAACTGACTGCCTGGAACCCCTTACTTGATTACTTACCTGACATTGCTCTCGAGTACTCATCTTTAACATCTTATGCTTCCAGGGAAGATACTGCATCTGCCTGAGGAACATATAGGGCAAGTGAGAAGGATACAAGGAAGCATGTGGAGACAAGCGTAACAGCACACGTGCCGATACATCCACTACTCTGTCAAAAGCAAAAGTATCACATATCAGCAGGGTCGAACGTACTATAGATTTGATGGACTTGTTTTGACCCTCAAATTCTTCAGTCGGCCTTATACTCTGGAGGAAACTAGAAAACCCTCCAGCCCAGTTCAAGAATAAGCCTGTGGAAAGTTATTTCTTCAAAAGCAAAAGTATCCCATATCATCTATTCTCATTTTTCTTCTCTTTATCATTCATGCTGCCTGCAAGATAGGGAGAATGTGAACAATCAGCCGGAACTCGAAATCAAAGTTCTGATCTGGGACTGATTGCTTGGAGCTCTGATTGCTTACCTTGTCTGTCACCTCTTTCAGCAGATCCCCTAGCTCAGCGACTTGGAGGACTCCTACTACATGGTTTGTATCGCGAATTGATACATTACCTTGTGCATCTCCACCAGTTAAAGATACCACCCCTGGATGGAGGAAGAGTACTTCCAGAGAAGATGCCACATCTACCTACGAGACAGATAAGGCAAGTCAAGACAATACCACACTCCGGAACTTAGAAGTTTCGTGATTACGTGATCATTCTCCCACAATATTTCCTAATGTCATTTGTACTAAATCATTCACTTGTACTCACTAAAAGAGAGCTTGAACCTATGTACTTGTGTAAACCCTTCACAATTAATGAGAACTCCTCTATTTCGTGGACGTAGCCAATATGGGTGAACCACGTACATCTGGTGTTTGCTTTCCTATCTCTATCCATTTATATACTTATCCACACTAATGACCGGAGCAATCTAGCGACGATCACAAAAAGCGACCGTTTTCGCTACCTAGGATCTATCTTGCAAGAGAACGGAGAATTAGATGGAGATCTCAACCATAGAATACAAGCTGGATGGATGAAGTGTAAGAGTGCATCCGGCGTGTTGTGTGTGATCGTCGTAGGTCACTGAAGCTCAAGGGAAAATTTTATAGGACGGCAATAAGGCCAGCGATGTTGTATGGCACAGAATGTTGGGCGGTGAAGCATCAACACGTACACAAAATGGGTGTAGCGGAGATAAGGATGCTTCGTGGGATGTGTGGGCACACGAGAAAGGAGAAGATTGTGAATGAGGATATCCGAGGTAAAGTAGGAGTAGCCGAAGTTGAAGGAAAGATGAGAGAAAATCGGTTACGGTGGTTTGGACATGTGCAAAGAAGGCCTACTGACGCTCCGGTTCGAAGATGTGACTACGGAACAGAGGTTCGGGGCCGAAGGGGTGGAGGAAGACCTAGGAAAACTTTGGAAGAGACCCTAAGAAAAGACTTAGAGTACTTGGATCTAACGGAGGATATGACACAAAACCGAGCGCAATGGCGTTCTAGGATTCATATAGCCGACCCCACTTAGTGGGAAAATGCTTTGTTGTTGTTGTTGTTGTTGTTGTACTTCTTCTTTTGATAGCGTCAGGTAGTAGAGTAGGAACGGCCGAAATGCAGATACAAGAATAATGACCCCCCATGATACAATACATGACATACACAACAGAGAAACATAGAGAAAGAAAGAGATGGCTGCAGTCGAGGAAACAAGTAAGTTCTCCGAAGAGTATCCAATGAAAGGTGGAGATGGCCCCAACAGCTATGCCAACAACTCAACTTTTCAGGTTTATATGAATTCATTTCAATTCTTATTTTGTACTGCTCACTTTTATCGAAGTCCTTGATCTCTTTGTACACGAAATTCAGGACGAACTAAGGCACAACCGGTAACTCGAACAATGATTTTGTATTTTGTAAATCCTTGCAGAAAGGAACGGTGGATGGTGCCAAAGAACTTTTAAGCAAGGCAGTTGCAGAAAAGCTCGATTTGTTATCTTCTAACACCTTTTACATTGCTGATTTGGGTTGCTCTGTCGGGCCAAACACATTTATCTCAGTTGAAAACATAATCGAAGCTGTGGAATTCAAGTTTCACAGCCAAGGGCTGAATTCGCAGATCCCTGAATTTCAGGTCTTCTTTAATGATCATACTCTGAATGATTTTAACAGGCTCTTCAAATCCCTCCCGCAGACCAGGCGATACTACGCTGCGGCATGCCGGATTCTTTCTATGGTCGTCTATTTCCTAGTACGTCTATTCATTTTTTTTCATTCAACTTTTGCCCTTCATTGGCTTTCTAGAGTACCAAAAGTGGTGGTGGACAAAAAAGTCCAGCATGGAACAAAGGACGAATTCATTACTCAAACTCCCCTGATGAAGTCGTAAGGGCTTACGAAGCTCAACATGCTGAGGACATGGAGTGCTTTCTGAATGCCAGGGCACAAGAGATTGCAGACGGAGGAATCATGGTACTCGTCATTCCAGGCCGGCCCAATACTGTTCCTCATTCTGACTCTGTGGGAAATGTGAGCTTTCAACTTATAGGGTCTTGCCTCATGGACATGGCTAGGAAGGTGAGCAATGGTATTTCTATTTCTCGTTTTGCGTTTAATTACACAAGAAATTTTATTTATGGCTTCCATGTGTTTTTCCTTTGCGCTGGGAGTAGTAAGTGATAAAGTAGATACATTTAACTTTCCTGTGTATTACATGACTCCCCAAGAACTGGAAGCTGCTGTAGAACGAAATGAATATTTTAGTTTAAAGAAGTTGGAAACGGTACCTCACATTCGGATTCCTCCCACTGTCTCTCCAAGCCAACTCTTTGTATCTCACGCGAGAGCTGCCCTTGAGGAAGTCATCAAGCAGCAATTCGGAGAAGAAATCTTAGATGAGCTCTTTGACTCGTATCTCAAGAAACTTGAAGTGCAACCCTCCATCATTGCGTCAGCGACTGAAACTGCAATCATCTTTCTTGCCGTGCTTAAGCGCAAGTAAAATGATGCGAACATGATGTCTCAGTACTCATGAAGATGTTGTCAAATTTCATTTGCTTCATTGTTATGTTAGTTTCATTTTTTATAGGGATATTTTGGATGCGGTCCCTAATCCTTAACATTCTTTGATTAAAACCTTAATAGTATACAAAGTTTGATCAAAGTCCCTTGACTTTGTACACCTCATTATATTACTATTAATATTTATATTTTTATAGTTTTGACATTAATTGTTTAATATTTTATGAGATTTATAATCCTATAAATTTAAAATCCCTCATTCTAATACTATTAGAAACGGTTATAATAAAAAAAATTCAAACATTTTGATTGAATAAATGGATAAAAACTATGTAAAAATAAGAAATAATAAATGGCAAAAGAATGTATCCATAGTGTTAAAAAAAAAGTGGTACATGTTACAAAAAAATTGGTACATTTCACATATAAAAAAGTGGTACATTAATAAAGAAGAATGGATACATTAGAAATAAATTAGGGTACAGATAAAAGATTAAAAATTATGAATTCAAATGAATTTTTAAAAATATAGGCGCTAAAAGAAATTAATACATGGGTATAAAATAAAACTAAAAAGAAAATACTACAAATTAAAAAAAAATGTTGCAAATTAAAAGTGGGTACAAACTAAAAATATAAATATATGATACAAAGTTTAGGCATAAAACATAAATATACCATATGTAATTTTTCTATCATTGATTAAATATACAATGTCACGTGACGGTATACACATGGGTACAAACACAAATAAAACTTTAAAAAATATGGGCACAAAAAGAAAATAATAAATGGGTACAAATTAAAAATGAAAAGAAAATTGGTAGAAATTAAAAAATATTTGCAAATTAAAAATAGGTACAAACTAAAATAAAAATATATGATAAAAAATTTAGCTATAAATATAAATATACTAATTGTAATATTTTTAACATTAAAGGAATATATTTAAAAATAAAAAAAATTATAATTCAAATAATTAATGATATTATTAATACCTAAGGACCTTGATCAAAAATTGAAAATAAATAGAATTTTAATCAATAGAGTAATAAAAATAAGAATATAAACCTAATTTTCCCTTTTTTATACGACTAAGTGGAATAAAACCTCTGTACGAGTCTTAGCTCAAGTGGCTTGGGAAGACGAGAAGTAAATGTTGGATTCCCCTTGTAACCGAAAATTCACTGCAGGAGAGAGATACTCTCTAGCCTGCAGAATGTGTTATTATTATAATCTGTTTGAAAACCTTAATTCACATATAATGCATTGTATCATATTAAGCTAGCCTTCCAATTTGTCTTATACTGCATCATAACAATTGTCTATTAATTTTGCTTTTAATTGTGTTTGTACCATCCTTCACTAATTCCGAAATTATCTAGCACCAACCAACTTTATACTTTCAGAGTCGCATTGAAAGATTCGTGTTGAGGCCCCCTGCCGAGGCACAATAGTTTCTTTCCAACCAGGAGATCATCACAACGCTACACGTGTCAACATCAGAAACCTCTTGCCAAGGCACAAGAATTTCTTTCCAACCAGGAGATTAATCACAATGTTACACGTGTCAACATCAGAAACCTCCTAGAGTCCCATATTGGTCGATGACAAAAGCGTCCTCAACTATAAAAGGAGACCATTATTAGAACTTATTAGTAATGACTATGCTTTGTTGAAGATCAACACCAGCCCAATTGGTGTTTGGATTCTAGAAGATTCTAGCAAGTAATATTAAGGTGGCCGGTGCATGCTTGAATATGCTAGACAATTCTAGCAAGCTATTATTGGTGAAGTGATATGCTAGAAAACTCTAGCAAAGTGCAGCAATTGGTGGTATAGTCAAGTCCACCGCCTTTTGCTTAAGAAAATATAAAATGTTTTTGTTTGTGGTAGAATCTAGAAACATATTGGCTGAAATTGGAAGAACTCAATCTCACCGACTAGGTAAGTCAGTTTAGCAAAAGAGATGGAAGAGTGTGCATGATCAATGCACTAGAAAATTCTAGTGAATGTATAAGTCGGCAAACATGCCCTATAAATATGGGTGTGGTGTTGTAAGTTTGTAGCCAAGAAGAAGGCAACCAAGTGAGAGTGAGAAGCAAGAATAGTCTTGTGAGGAGTGTGAGTGGTCTAGAGTTTGTCTCTAGAAAGTGAGTGAGTGTCATAGCTTCTCAAGTGTGTCCTTAAGAGTTTGTGTTGTAATACTTTGTGTGTGTAATACAAGTAATTTGTTTACTTGTGTTGTCTCTCCAACACTTTTGTTAGAGTTGTGTACTCTAAGTTTTTCCTCAACAATTGGTATTAGAGCGGTACGATCAGGGACGTCTCTAGTGAAGTTTTTAAGAATCGTGAGAAGTTTAGTACTTCGCAAGATTATTCATTAATCTTGTTCGGCTTATCAAAGTTTATCCGACACGATGGGAGATTTTCAAGTTGTTGGAGGAATCAAGAAGTTAAACAACAAAAATTACAACACATGGGCAACATGTATGGAGTCTTACCTACAAGGCCAAGATCTTTGGGATGTCGTTAGCGGTAATGAAGTTACGCAGCCGGAAGAAGACATCAGTGGCATTTTGAGGAAGTGGAAGATCAAGGAAGGTAAGGCCATGTTTGCCTTAAAAACCACAGTTGAAGATGACATGTTGGAGCACATACGGAAGGCCAAGACACCAAAAGAAGCTTGGGACACCTTCGCCACACTTTTTTCAAAGAGGAACGATACAAGATTGCAACTTCTCGAGAATGAGCTATTATCGGTGGCCCAACGAGACATGACGATTGCCGAATATTTTCATAAGGTAAAGTCTATTTGCCGTGAAATTTCTGAGTTAGATCCTAGTGCTGCCATTGTAGAATCCAGGATAAAAAGAATAATTATCCATGGATTGAGACTCGAATATCGAGGTTTCGTTGCCGCTATACAAGGATGGCCGACCCAACCATCACTTGTTAAGTTTGAGAATTTGTTTGCCGATCAAGAAGCTTTGACAAAGCAAATGGGAAGGGTCTCGTCAAGAGGTGAGGAGGAAGCGCTCTACACCAAAAGTAAATGCAGCTTTAAGCAGCGTGCTGGTGGTGGATCTAAAAGAAATGATGACAAGGAAAAAGGTTATCAAGGAGGAGGGAGTTCTCGGCTATGGGAGCTCTGAAGTATCACGGCAACCGTGGTCAATCCTAGAGCAATAAAAGGTTTAAGGGCAAGTGCTACAATTGTGGAAAGAAGGGTCATATGGCGAATAATTGCTGGTTCAAAAGGCCTGCAAAAAGTAACGTCGTCAACTCAGAAAAGAAAAGTGAAGATGATTGGGACGTCGTTGCGTCTTTAGCCCTGGATGAAGAATGGGACACTGAAGCATCCATTGCTATGGAGAAGCAAGAGTCAGCTCTCACAGCAGCGAGTTCGGAGTCTATTGACTACCATAATGATTGGATCGTGGATTCAGGCTGCTCAAACCATATGATAGGTGATGAGAAAAAGTTACAAAGTCTGACTGAGTACAAAAGAGGCCGCTTGGTGGTGACGACTGACGACTCGAAGTTACCGATTGCTCATATCGGTAAGATAGTAATTGAGCCCCGATACAACACTAACCATGTGCCGCTTCAAGATGTCTACCATGTTCCAGGTATGAAGAAAAATCTGCTTTCAGTGCCGCAACTGACGTCATTGGGCAATTATGTCTTGTTTGGTCCATGAGATGTGAAGGTGTATCGACACTTCAAGATCTTAGGGACGCCAACAATGGAGGGACAGCGACTGCAGTCAGTCTATGTAATGTCAGTAGAAACTGTATACGTAGACAAGACAAGGAAGAATGAGACAGCTAATTTATGGCACATGAGATTAGGTCACGTTAGCTATCACAAGCTAAATATGATGATGAAGAAGTCAATGCTTAAGGGGCTACCTCAGCTTGATGTGAGAATAGACACGGTTTGTGCAGGATGCCAGTATGGTAAAGCATATCAACTACCATACGAAGAGTCGAAGTTTAAAGCGAAAGAGCCGTTGAAGTTGGTTCATTCCGATGTGTTCGGGCCCGTCAAGCAACCATCGATAAGTGGGATGCGATACATGGTGACGTTCATTGATGACTTCTTCATGTATGTGTGGGTTTTCTTTATGAAAGAAAAATCTGAAACATTTTTAAAATTTAAAGAGTTTAAGGAGATAGTTGAAGGAGAAGTGGGAAAGAAGATCCGTTGCATACGCACGGATAATAGAGGAGAATATACCTCGAATGAGTTTTCCCAGTATCCAAGAGATTGCAGAATACGTCACCAGTTCATATGTGCTAACACGCCACAACAGAACGGCATATCAGAAAGAAAGAACCGGCGTCTTGCAGAAATATGTCGAAGTATGCTCCATGCCAAGAATGTACCAGGAAGGTTTTGGGCAGAAGCTATGAAAGCTGCAGCCCAAGTGATCAACATGCTTTCTTAACCAAGGTTATAATTTGTCTCACCATTTGAAAAACTATGGGATATGAATCCTACAGTTAGTTATTTTCGAGTATTTGGCGGTGTGTGCTATGTATTTGTTCCAAGTCACCTACGTAGCAAGTTTGACAAAAAGGCAGTTCGATGTATCTTTGTGGGATACGACAACCAAAGAAAAGGGTGGAAATGTTGTGATCCTACGATTGGAATGTGTTACACATCACGAGATGTGGTGTTTGATGAAGCATCTTCTTGGTGGTTTTCAGATAAAGAGGCATTGCCTGATTCGAGAGAGATTGAAAATAAGCTGCAACAGAAGATGAGGGAGCAAATTGTTCGAATCCAGTCGAGACCAGATGAGTCTGAAGATTCACTTGATGGTGATGGTGTTGAGCAAGCAGTGCCCCAAAATACTTAGCAAGCTGACATATATCAACAACTTGAAGAAGATAGACCTAGTGAAGTGGAAGTATTAACTCCACAATCACAACTAAGGAGGTCAATAAGAATCCGGAAGCAAAATCCTAAATATGTCAACGCAGCCATAGAAGAAGAAGCAGCTGAACCTGAGTGGTTCAAAGTTGGGAGAAGAGGTCACTACAACGGAGCTAAATCAAGCTTGGAATCTAGCACCAAAGCGAAGAGATATGAAACCCATATCATGCAAATGGGTGTGCAAGAAAAAGCTTCGTCGTCAATTCGGCAATGAGGAAAGAATGAGCTGGTGTTGAGGGGGAGTGTTGAAGATCAACACCAGCCCAATTGGTGTTTGGATTCTAGAATATTCTAGCAAGTAATATTAAGGTGGCCGGTGCATGCTTGAATATGCTAGACAATTCTAGCAAGCTATTGTCGGTGAAGTGTGTTTGTACCATACTTAGGGCCTCCGTATTTAGATCTCGTATAAATACTCGGGAGACTTAAATGTAATTATGTAATAAAGGAAGGGGCAAATATGTAATAAGTGAGGAGCCCTTATTCTATAAAAGGACTCCTCACTCTCCTCATTAGGAGATGCCAATCCTTAGGCCTGAAGCCCCCTCATCCTCAAGCTCTCATCCTCTCATTACAGAGGCTCTCTCTCACAATCTTTTCAGAGAAATACAATATCAGTGTGGACGTAGCCTAAACATTGGGGTGAACCACGATACATCTTGTGTTATTTACTTTCTTGCAGATTCACGGTCGGGTTTACGTTGTTCCAAGACCTCATGTTTTGTGCATCAACATTTGGCGCCGTCTATGGGAAACGACACGAAAAGCTATGTCGGTTCTCTCTCAAATTTTCATCTCACCACCGTGAGACCTCACCACACTCCACCTTGACTCTGCAAAATCATAAAAACCCAAGAAACCAGTCCCGTCTCTCTTCTCTCACTGACCCATACTAAAGTCATCTTTTTGCTTTCCCTCTTGTCCGTTCTCTCTGCTCTCTTTGCAACACTGAGAACACCACCTCAGGCAAACCAAAAAAAAAAAAAAAGGAAAACTCGTTGAGGGGGGGAGCGGCAAGTGCCAAGAGAGTAAAAACTCCTGAGTTCCATCGACTCGTAGAGTGGGTGTGAAAACGAAGGCAATCATCAATGGCGGGTGTATCGCTCAAGTACGGCGACTGCGGGACTTTGCTGAGGTTGGTTGAGGAAGCCCAAGAGCATGCCGAGCTCACCTCCCACCTCCAAGCTTTCTAGGTTTTCTTAGTTCCTCCAAAACCCTAGTCTCTTAGTAAAAAGAGAGGTTAAAGGACGGCACCGTCGCTGTTCGCCTTGACAAAGCTGCCGCTTTGTCTTGGCCCTTGGTTTTGGTCTTGCTCTCTTTCCCAAACTTCCAATTTCCACTAATCTCACAAGTCCTAATCTCTTTAAATCGCAATGGCCCCTAAACCCTCCAAGGCCAACAAGAAGATCGCTTACGATTCCAAGCTCTGCTCACTCCTTGACTAGTATGGCCAGGTTCTCATTGTCGCAGCCAACAACGTCGGCTCCAAACAGCTCTAGAACATCCGCAAGGGGCTGCGCGGAGACTCTGTCATTTTGATGGGAAAGAACACGATGATGAAAAGGTCTGTCAGGATTCATGCGGAGAAGATGAGCAACAGTGCCTACCTCAACCTCGTCCCCCTTCTTGTTGGCAAAGTCAGTCTAATTTTCACGAAGGGCGATTTGAAGGAAGTCAACGAAGAGGTTGGCAAGTACAAGAACAACTTGCTCTCCAGAATTTACAGAAGCAACCCAATTCGAAACGACTTCGGTTACTGCCGTTTCGGACTGAACCATGGATTCTGCTCCCACTCTCGCCAAAACAACAAAGAGAACGGCGAAGATTTGAGCCAGTATTCGGTAGAGAGGATTCGAAACTTTTTGATAATCGCACATGTCGATCACAACAAAGTCTACTCTTACCGACATGCTTTTGGAGCTCACCGGGACTATTAAGAGAGGCCATGGCTAGTCTCAGTACCTTGACAAATTGCAGGGAAGCTAGTGCAGATCAAAGATGCTCTGTATGCTGCAGATGACCTGCTGGATGAGCTCAATGACCCATCCCCTGCATCTTCTTTACTGAAGGAAATCTTTTGGGAAAACATGTTCATTTGAGCAACATCATATAGCATGCAATTAACAATTAAAGGCGGAATCATGCTTGTATGCACTCAAAAACAAAACATTACCATGAAATTCAAAGCCTAGTAGATTGGTGAACCAATAATCAACTCAAAAACAAAGTGAGTTGAAATTTACCTTTGTAGATTCCTCTTTGCATAAGCAAAGGCTAATCACCCAAAGAGATAGGGCCTTCATTCCTTGCTTCTTAGATCCATGGATTTGGATGGAAGAATAGGTTCTCCAAGTTCCCAAAATTGAGAACCTCTAAGTCTCTACACCAAGGAGAGATTGGATGATGAATGAGTGACCTTGGAGGATTAGATGACTAGCTAATCACCTCCAAGGTGTTGGCCTCTTTAGAGAGAAAATGGAGAGACAATTCTCACCCATTTTCCCCAAAAATAAACCCTTATTTCACTTAATGAATATTTGGCTATAAAGTCATTTATATAGTCACTTCTTTAAGTGACCTAAATAACCAAAACCCTAATTCATTCCTTATGGCCGGCCATTTAGGGATTTTTGGGCTTTTGGGCTTTAATGAATCTTTATTCATTAAATTGTCATACAACTTAAGTTAATGGGCTTGACGTTCGAAGCCCATTGGGCCTTAAGGTCCAAAACTATCCCGTGGTCTTTAACGAACTTATTCGTTTGATTAATTAACATATTAATTAATCCTTGCCATAAATAATTAAACCATTCAATTAATCTTACTCATTTCATTTATTTTTCGTCATCTCTACCTTACACGGTGTACGATCCATTAGGTTCCTTTTAGCGAGGTAGTGGGCGATTAAAACCATTTTACATCGATTGTGAATTGAAACTATTTTCAATTCTCCCTTTAGTGATTACACACGTTTAGGGCTTCCACAAACCATGAGTGACACCTAGCCGTATGTCATGGTTACCCAAGCTAATCAGAAGAGGTGGAGAACCTATTCAGTCTGGGATTACAAATGCAATACGGTCCTTCTCTAATCTAATACTCTTGACCACATTGTTTGGTTTGATAGTTTATTTTCTCATGTCTACTATCCAATGTGTGTCTTGTGCTTATATGATTACCTTGAATGTGATTAGGAACGCATTCCCAAATC